GTATATATATATATATATATATATATACTTTCACTGCTGCAATAAAAATTACATAGATAAAAAGTATTTTAAAAAGAACGAACAATAAAACCACAATGGCTTGTTTTAAAAACACAACGGCACATTGAACGTGTGCCCATAATCACACACACACAGTGAGGAACATTTCGTAGGTGTGTTTGTTCATGAGAAGCCCTGAGGAGACAGTCCAGAGCAGATCTTCCTTCATGTTATTATGACCCCCGCATGCGAAGCGTAAGCGGGAGTCCTATTGTTTTCGTACTGTTTATTTTTTTTTCTCCTGAGATTTTTGGTCAACCGTAGCACAAAAACGGCTGCACCAAGCAACATGAAATTTGGCAGGACTGTAGGTGAGTCTGACCTACACTGCYCCAGCCAACGGTTTTACGAAAGACCCCATTTTTGAGGAGGGGGCTCCTTTCAAAGTGGGGGTGTCTGGACATGCAAAAAATGCTTATGACTCAAAAACTGTTAAACAYAGAAGCTTCAGATTTCTTTTGATGTTTAGCTCTGATGCAGCTCTATCCATCAGGCCCACCAATCAGTGCCCCCCACCCCCCGGACCCACAATTTATCTGGAAAATGGGTATCTGGACATGCAAGATGCAGCAGAACTAGTAATCCACTACAACTGTATATTTATACCATGAGCCAAAAGTCTGTTTCTACAAATCACCTCCCCAAACTGTGGCATCCTGTGCAATGCTGTGAAAATAAACTGTCATGCCTCTAGTTTGCAGTGTTTTGCAAGAATTGCTCATAGTATTACTGGAATATACTCTGGTGATCTTAGACAATTTTGGACTTTGGATTTTGCTTCTGCTATGTTTTATTGAGCATGATCGCTTTAGAACTAAATAATTTTGCTAGCGCTTTAGAATTTGCACAACTAACTTTTGAATTAGCACTACTCCCCACTGCCTTTTAGCTATGGTGGCCATTTTGATTTTTGATTTGGCTTTAGTATGATGAGGATCATACTCAGCTACCACCACACCAAACTTCAGTCCCAARTGTCTTTAAAATGACCAGGTTACTGTGGTTTCAAATTATCTCAGGTAGCCATCTTGAATTTATATTTAGCATTCAGAATTTGTCAAAGCTTGTTCCAGGCTACYACTACACTAGTTTTCAGCTCTGTAAGTCTTAAAATGGCTGAATTATAGCCTTTTTAAAATTAGCATTAGCGGTTAGCTTAAACTTGTGATTAGCATTCAGAATGCAGTGGTGGGTATGGAAGCCCGAAGCGCAGGGAGAAAAAAAATTTTTTTGAAGACCCATTTTTTAAGTTTGATAAAATTTTCTGTTTCTCTTGAATTTAACAGTCATAAAGCAAGTTAAAAAAATGTTTCAAATATATATTTGTTTACTTGTGGAACATTTGCCCCAAATGTGAGTATAAAAAATTGTGATGTGCAAAACTTGTTTAATTGTGATTTTCTATTAAGTTTTTCTGACTATAAAAAGTATATTTCTTTCATTTTTACAGCAAACAACCAACAGAGTGCAAAAGTAAAATGTTTTTAGGTCTTTTCTTTAGACCTCAAAGACAGGCGGAAGGACAAACAAATTATGTCGTGTCAGTTTTTCTAAAGTGTTTTAAGCCATGAAAGGTCAGTGGATGAAAAAAAATCTGTCAAGTTTTCTAAGTTGTTTTCTGTTATGTTTTTTATTTTATTTTATTGGCCCTGAAAGGCAAGTGGATGAAAAAAGACATCTGTCCTGTTTTGTCAAGTTTCTTTTCAGTTTGTTTTGTTTGATACCAGGCAGCAGACGTCTATCCCACCATAAATACGTCGCGCTTCACTTCAGCCCAGCTGAGTTCTGCTCCACGCCTCTTTTGGTTCTGCTCGGCTGGCTTTATCAAGGACCAGGAAGTGTGACACAAAAATCTGAATTTTGGTACTGAAATTGTAGTACTGAAAGCGAAAGTATTCAAACTGAATTTTGAATAAACCAAAATACAGTTCGCACCTTACACCCCTTCATCCCTTCAACATGAACGCGCATTTGAAGTGCACGAGTGCGGATAAAAACACAAAGAGCCAGAGGTAAAGTCACAGAACATCAAAACAATAAAAGAAAACAAAAGACAAAATTAAGACAAGTAAGATAATTTGAACAGRGACGTCTTTAACTTAGCTTTAAAAACCTCTACAGAGCAAGCCTGGCTGATGTCCTGAGGGAGATAGTTCCACAGAGGGGGGCACGAAAAGAGAAGGCACATTCACCGATGGTCTTTCTCCGAGCTTTTGGAATTATTAATAGGCCACTACCTACAGATAGATGTGAGAGAGCATGGTGGAACGTAAGAGGTTGGTGAGATATGGAGGTGCCAGGCCATTTAAAGTCTTATAGTTGAGCAGCAAGACCTTAAAATCAGCTTGAGTCTAACAGGGTGACCAGTGAAGCGATGACAGTAAGGGGTGATGTGGTCATATTTCTTGGAATGAGTTCAAATATGGGCGACTGCATTCTGGACCATCTGCAGACATCTAAAACTTTTCCTGGGCAGACCAGAAAGGAGAGAATTGCAATAGTTGATGCGTGAGGTCACAAAGCGTGGATAAGGACCTCAGCATCATCAAAAGAAAGAATAATATTTAAGAACCACTTTCCGTTTCTGTCCTGCCCATTTTAGCGCGGGGGGTTCACACGCGYGACGGGGGTGCGCTATGATGCAGTTTACTTGGTTGGCATCTGAAAATACATTTCCTCAAAGGTATTTTGAATCTGAAAAGGGCTTTACTGAGTGAAAGTAGTGTTAGGAGCTCAGCTGACAGTTTCAGTTTCACCAATTGTTTGTTTGTTGCTGCCGAGAGCCTGCAGGAGTCACAGGCGTGGTGCGGAGGGTGGGGAGGTGTGCTCCGTGATGAGGAAGCTCAGCTTGGAGACACAGCCCAGAGGAGGAGCTGGTCCCAAAAGGAGGTTCTAGTCCCAACCTGTTGTTTTTTTCTCCCCAGCCTGGCTGCCACAGGACAACATAGGATTTCTCAAATATGCATGAATGAGTCAAAGTAAGACTCTGGGCATGGTTTTTGGTGAGAGGATGACATTATAACATGATATAAAACTCAAAAAAGTCGATTTTACATGAAATAGCCCCTTTAATATTGCCCTTTAGATGCGATGTGTAAAGGCATCCATCTGCACACAATCAAAACAGTGTAGAATTCATTTGATATTTACATGCAGAAAACTATTTTCCTAACTTTATTTTGTTTGAAAAACACACAAAAACAGAAAAAAGTCAGAGAGCTCGGTGCTGCGGTCCAGTTACATAGGACTCAGAATCGGGACTGAAGTCAGAAAAAGATGAACACAGCAGAAAACCTGTTTTTTTTTCTTTTGGTCTATTAAAAATACCAAATCAACATGCAGTCCACTTGAAGAATATATTAGACGAGGATGAAGGTGCAGAAGGGGAAGTATGCACACACACACACACACACACACACACACACACACACACACACACAAACACCTACTATGTCTCTCTATCTTTGTGGGGATTTCCCATTGACTTCCATTCATTTGTTGGAAATTTTATATCCTAACACTGACCTCACAGGTACCTACCTGATCCTAAAACTAACCTAAACTCAATTCACACCTTGGTCCTAAACCCAACCCCCAACCAAAATCAGCCTCCAAAGTCGAGGGGACCGGGCTTTGGTCCCCACAAGGAACACACATACACACACACAAGTCAACTTTATTATGTTCAGTTTGTCATAATCAATGGTCACTTAGCACAAAAATACAGTGGATTTCTGATGAAATATAGTATATTATTTACTTTAGTCCTACTTCAACACATCTATCTAATTTGAGGTCATTTTTATATTCATTGTCTAGTTTAGACAAGCAAAATCTATAGTATACAGGCCAGGACTGCAGTTTACACTCATCTACAGACCAGACTGCAGTTTACACTCATCTACAGACCAGACTGCAGTTTACACTCATCTACAGACCAGACTGCAGTTTACACTCATCTACAGGCCAGTGGTCACTCTTTCAGGGATGAAGATGTTCTCATCCTTGATAGAGTGAAACGTTGGTTTGAGAGAGGAGAGAGGAGTTTTTGTGAAGAAAAACCGTCCACCATTAAACAGAGGTGGAGGCCTTCGTGTCCAGTTGTCCTCCTCCTACAACGTTGTTATTGCAAGTATGACTCCTTCCCCTGTGAGCAAAAGGTGTGAATCAGGGCCCCAACGATATGAACACAAAGAGGGAAAGAGAGACAAAAACAAGGGGATGTTGAACCCCGCTTGCATTCACTACATACACACAACACGACACGGGTCAGGTGATGGGGCACATGACCCTCTATGAACAATGGAGCTAAACAAGGCACTAACGTCCTATCGTTAGGCTGATGGCCCTCTTTAACACGTGACTAACCTGTTTGTCCACCATGTGGAGGCAGTGCTTATAAGGCTGAGTTCACCTGAAACTCCTCAGAATGAAGAAGAGAGAGGARGAGAGGAGAGGAGGAGAGACGAAACGTTTCATTAAAGAAGAACCCGTCTAGAGGACTTACTTATTTTTCTTTTTGATGGTCTAGTTTAGTTTAGTCTA